TCGTTAGTTCCTCTGGGACCAGAGCTCGGGATGATGTCCCTCCGGGCTGTGTCGCCGCCCGGTCCCGGCTTCTCGGCGGAGCAGTGCTCGGGTAGTGCAGAGGTGGTGAGAGAAATCGTCTGTGAGCCCTTGGAGACAGCCGTCCCCTCCCAAGGTTTCGGCAGTCCCCATCAGGGGTGCGACCGCTGCCCATCCCTCGGCCGAGCCTCCAGCCCCAAGCTCGGTCCCCTGCGCTCCCTCCTCCCGCTCTCGGGGCCAGCGCAAACCGCGCAGGTGGCCGCATTCCTGTTTTGCTTTGGATTCCCGTTCATCTGTTGGGGCTGAGGCGTGCTCGGCCGCGTTCGGGCGCTGCGGACTACGGGGCTGGGAGCCGGGACTGCCCAGATGCTGCCCGAGAAATCTCCCCGGAGCGCTGAGCCCCGGGAGCGCAGCTGCTGCAGCCGCTGCAACGAGGCTCCGACTGAGCGTGATGGGAGCGTGCGAGCACCAGTAAAATTGGCCCGAGGGAAAAAAAAAAAAAAGTATTTTGATAATTTTGTGACTTCGCAGCGTGAAACAGTAAAAGATTAATCATTTCCATACCCCAGCTACACTTTGTAAAGGTGCAAATCCTTGTAATTATTACTCAGGCCAGCTTAACTTCAAGGAGTATCTGCACTCCTTCTCAGAGCCTGTATGTATTGTATATATTTCAAAAACGAGCTTGGCTCCAAACTTCTGTGCAAGGAAGTTTCCTTGGGAACCTGTGATATGGCTGTTGCATCTGAAGGTCTATTTTTACTCTGAAGAGTAAGTTTTTGGGGCTCAAAAATATTTACTGCTGTGTAAACTAAGCCGTGGCTTTGTTTGAGGCTGAAGGCTCGATCTGTTCCTTTCAGAAGCACTGATGAGAATCGTAAGCATTTGCTGCTTCGTTTGTTTTATTGCTGGATCTTGTTTCAGTCCTGAGATGGGAAATTAAGATTTTGTTTTGGTTAGCTGCAGAGAAGGAGCTGGGTGTGCAGTTGGGGTAACATGACAGACCCAGTTCCCAGTAATTCTCTTTTCTCCAACATCTTTCTTATGATTCCTCCCTTTTCTGATTCAATACTATATATATTTTTTTTTTAATTTAAAGAAGAAAAGTTAGTCAGTAGGCGTTTCCAAAGTAAGATCTGAGAAAATGTTCAGTGAACATACAGATGCCCTGGAGAATGCTCTGGGCTGGACCCAGTCCAGACCTTGCTGCACTGTTACTCCCTCATTTTGTTCTTTTAAGGCTTTGTACTTCCAACAAGGAATAAAGTTGTATGTCACAGGGATGTCAGCATCAAAAACAAGCACATAAAGGTGCATTGCATGTGAATGCTTAAAAAGTGTAGTGGCAATTGTATCTTACAGAGAGTGTTCAGGCTCTCTCAAGTGTCAGTAAACTCTACAGAGTTCTACACTTCAGTATTCCCAGACATGTCAGGAGACACTGGAAAATTCCTGTGCTCTCTGCTAATGGACAGACCTGTCCCTTTGCAGTGAGAGAGGAAAACCAGTCACTGCAGCCAGCACCAAGCCAGAAATCAGGTTTGCTCTTTTGTTCACAGTTCATATCTGAAAAAAAATCTGGAAAACCTGCATGGAAACTATACCTTGATTTTACATTTAATCTTTTTGTTAAAAATATCAGAATGGTATAATATTTTCCACAAATGAAAGACTTGTGGAACTGCTTAAATCAAAAGGTTGACGCTTTGAATTTCTTCTTCTGTAGAATTTACCCTGTCACATGACTTCAGTAGTCAAAAATGCCTTTTAATTTTATCTAGTATGTTCATTTATTTTGGATATTGGCCTCACTACTGCTAGTCACCCCTGAAGCTACAAAATACATGCTGGATGATACAGCAAACATGAGCCAGATTCTTGGATCTTTGGGTCTGCTGGTCTGTTCTTACCCTTCCTGTAGTGAGCAGCAGTCCTGATACGAGTTACAAAGTTATGGTGTTACTGGTTTCTCCAGTGAGCTCCATTACAATGTGCTTTTCCCTGTTAGTCTTGTCCTCAGAGCAGTGAACCTCCAGTGAGACATTCACAAGACATTCGAGTGATGATGAACTTTTGCTTCCTGCCTTCTGCAGGATGCACCAGCAGGACATTGCCAAGGTCTGGCAGGACTGACCCACAGCAGCGCTGTACCAGAGGAGCAGAACACAGAGGAGTGGAGAGTGCTGAGCCTGGGCTGAGCACACCATGGGGGCAAACACCTCCAGCAAGTCACCACCCTTTGATGGGAATGAGGATGGTAAGAACTTTTCCTGGTTGTTGTGTGGGACTGCAGAGCTCTGCAGCGCAGACTGACCGTGCAGGTGCCAGCCAGCGCCCGTGCTGAGGCTGCAGAGACCGGCTCAGCAGAGGTGGGTGCAGGTCAGCAGCAGCAGCAGTGTGCCCATGGTCCCTACAGAGCTGTGGCCTGATGGTGGGGTCTTTTTGCTTCCCCTCCCAGCAGCTCTGAAAGCAAGATTGTCAGCAGAGGTTTGGTGTTGAGGTGTCCCTGAGACACTGCCAGGCACCTTGAAGGCAGGGACAGAATTCTGCTGCTCTGGAGGCTGGAGAGGTCTGTTCTGGAGGTCCCAGCATAGGGAGGACTGGTAGGAAATATGGTGGGAAAGTGGCTGGAGCAATGGATGTTCCCATGGGTGCTTCTGGTGGCTGCCCAGCTGGGCAAGGCTGCCTGCAGGCACTGGGAGGCCAAGCCTGCAGGTTGGGTTGGCTGGAAAAGGAGTTGGAAAAGTACTGCTGGGAGCAGTATTGGAGACCAGGGTCCCTGTGCTGCCAAGATTACAGAGACAGTCATTAAAAGATTGCTCCATAAATATATTTGCTGTTGTATGAGTCAGCTTGCTGACTGCCATATGGGCTTTCACCTAGGTACAACAACAACATGCATATGTAGATAAATACAGATATATAGTAATGAACATAAAATATATGATGAGCTGGATACCCCATCAGCCACTGTTCTGATGTTCCATGTGGTGCCACTGCCAGTCTGCAGCTGCTCAGCTAAACCAGCTCCAGTTTCCAAATTATTAGTGCAACTGCTTGCAGTTTTTCTTTGTCATATTTTTTCTATTTCCATAGTGCAAAAGAAATCTGTGCTGTGAAGTTTTCCTGAAGATTTTATTCCTGGTGCATCTAAATGCTCAGTATTGGCATCTGTCATAAACAACCACTTATGCTTGCTCAGGATAATGAGCAGTTCTCTTCCTGACCACCTTCCTCAGGGTGATGTGCCCTGGCTATGGGATTTTCCTGGGAGCAGCTGGTCTCTGCTGGGTCTCTCTCTGAGTTCAGTGTTCATACAGCACCAGCTTCTGTGCCTGAGAAACACAGTGCCATCCTGTCCTGCCCATCTGTGGTTCACTGTCAGTTTGTTAGGTTTCAGTGGGCCACCCTTGCATGCTGACACAGCACACAGACAAGTGCAGTTCTATTCCATGGCCCTGCACATATTTAAAGAGTGGTAGAGCATTTTTTCTCTAATTAGTAATGTTTTACTATACTGAGGGGAGAGAAACCCAGCTGAAACAGAGATGTCCCCTAGGGAATTTTCCATTATCTTTCAAATTGTTGACCAGAGGCTATATCACCTTAGATGTCACAATCTTGTCCTCATTCTGATTTCAATTAAAATTGTAATTAATTAAGAGCTTCTGTGTACACTAGGAAACAACACAGTGCTCCATGGCACGGGCACGTCCCACCTCCAGGCTGCAGGTGGTGGGCAGCTGTCCCATCTCTGCAGCTGTGTCACAAGGAGACTTTTCCTTTGGGACCTGTGAGGGTTGGTGGAACAGCATGAGTTATTGTAGGTGCTCCAGTGCCAGTCCTAACAATTTTTGTGTATTTTTCCAAATTGCTGTTGCTATAAATCCACTATTTTCTCTAGCACCATGATTTCTGTTTGAACTTCTTGAAGGGCTCTGTTTACCTTCAGCTGAAGTGGGGTGACAGGATTGTTTTTCTCTCAGCATTTCCTCTGAGCAGACAATTGTGCACAATAAGCAAGTGAAATGAAAAGAAAATATAATAACCAGACAGAAGATTCAAGGCTACAACGTGATCTGGTTCCCGGTGTTGTTAAGATGAGACCATACAAGAAGCCAGATTTTGTTTGTGCTGCTCCTGGGCAGAAGGGTGTGGGTAGTGTCCTGGGGGATGGCAGCCAGATGTTCCCCCCAGCTGTTTGCCTGATCTGCCATTGACAGAGGCTGACCTAGGGAACTTGCCTTTGCAGCTGAACCATAGAGGAAAAAAAAGCCCTGTTAAACACACCAAATTTAAACAACACCCAAATCTTCAAAAGGAACAGAACATTTCTGGGGTATCCCTCATTTTTCTCAGCTCACAGTGAGAAAAAGTAGAAATAACATAATATTGTCAAATATTTGCTCAGCCATTTAATATTGAAATATTGCTCTTTCTTGCAGTTACCTTCGACCATTTTGAGATTTTGCGAGCTATTGGGAAGGGCAGCTTTGGAAAAGTGAGTGTTTTGGGAACTAATCACAATGTGGGCAGCTGGAGATGTAACTGGGTGGAAATGGATGAGCGGGCTCCCATGAGAGTACAGAACCAAAGCCCATGCACTATCAGTGAGCCTTCAACTCCTGGTAATCAGAAAGGAATCAGAGCCCCATTCCTTATCTATTGTGTACCCACAAATCACATTATATGAGATTAAAATTTAAAAATGATCAGTCAAATTATCTGAATTTCATTAGATTTCTGAATAAACATTTTCTAATATTTCTCATCAGATCAACACTGAACATGATGATACATTTTTGATAAAGAACTACAATCAACATGAAATTCTGCAAGGTTTTTTAGCACATCATGTAATGTGCTAAATGTTTCTCTGGGAGGCACAGTGTTTGTTATTAAGCATCAGGCTCATCCCAAACCCCTGAACTATTGTATAAACAAAGCCTGTTTTCTTCTGTGCTCTCATAGGCTCTGAGGCTTTCCTTGAAGTCGTGTTCTATATTTGGTGACATATGAGAAAGGTTAAAATTCAAAGCCCAGTATCCTTTTTACAAAGCCCAAGATTCACTGTGAACTGAGTGACACTTCTCAGCAAAGTGAGGATCAGGTGCTGGTCCCAGTGTTTGACCTTTAGTTCTGTGGTGGAGGGGGCTTTTCCCAACAGTAACTAGTGTGGGAGGGATGGACATGGTGGTCAGTGAATGACATTAAATAAAGTGTTGGCTTCTCTGTGATTCCCTGTCTCCCATGTTGTGATGATAAATTCCTTTCTCTCATCTTCTCTCAAAAATTTCTCTTTGGGTGAAATTCCCAAGAGGTTCCCAGGGAGTGTCCAGTTTGCAGCATTGATGGATGGACTTGTGCCCTGGCAGTGTGGGCACTGTCAAAGCTGCTGGAAAATACTCATGTCACTGGGTTTTACCTGCCCAAATTTTCTGACAAATCATCTCTGATTTATCCCTGATTGCTGTCCTAGGTCTGTGTGGTGCAAAAGACTGACACCAAGAAGATGTACGCCATGAAATACATGAACAAACAGAAGTGTGTGGAGCGTAATGAAGTGAGAAATGTTTTCAAGGAGCTGCAGATTATGCAGGGCCTGGAACACCCATTCTTGGTTAATCTGTGGTAAGATTTGGCTCACTGGCTGAGTCAGAACAGTCAGTTACAGACACCTTTGAGACCAGGTCCTCTTCATCTTCTTCAAGACTGTCTTGGGAGCAGCTGGTGTGTTCCACTGACTGGGGCTCTTGTTTCAGGAGAATCCAGTTTAGTTAAACAAGCAGTTATCTGCCTTGTGCCCCCAGACAGCACAAGAGAGCTTATTCATGTGTTCCTTTGCAGTGCTCCCCCAGGCAGGTACTGCCTATTACCATAACCCCACCTGTATTTAAAGGAGCTCTTTGCAACCACCATCAGCTCCTCGCAGCATGGAATCGATGGCCAGGCAGGACACTTTGCTGTCTGTTCCTTGACATTTCTTTCTTCTTAATTTTATTAGGACACCAGTAACATTCCAAGGGGTGTGAGCTCACACACTGCATGATAAAGTGGCCAATATCTTGTAATTTCAGTATTCCTTGAGGGTGGTGGGTAATTACATTTATTGGAAATTTGATTTATTTTTTAGAATAAAATAGAAAATATCAATGCTAAACACACACATAAAAAAAAAAAAAATAGAAAGACATTGAATATCAAAAGTCTTTGAATAATTCTTCCTTTTTGAAATCTCCAGTAACCTGAGTGGAGTTGAGTGAACTCTTGGTCATTTGCTGCTGTTGCCATTTATAGTTGTTCTTACTGGGGTATGAATGCTAAAGGTGCAGCTACACTTCCCATATCATATCTCCAAACTTGTCTTTCCAACTTGAACACAAAGTTCCAGGCAAAGCTCACTCAGCAGCTGAGGACTGACCAGTGTGTGTGTATGAAGAGCTCTGTGCAGAGCAAACCATCCAAGTGTCCCTGCTTCTGTTCTTGCCATCCTTGGCTTCAGGATGCCTTTAGTGATCCTGGGGCTTTCCTGCTCTCTGAGTGATGATACACAGACTACAAGCAGTAGTCTGGCTTGTGCTGTTGGTCATCACATCAAGCAATCAGTGTGTTGATGAGGAAAAATCCCTGAGGAAAGGACTCAGAGCTGGTTGTCAGCCCCTCTCAGAGAGACACAGTCCATCAAATGAGGTGACTCATAGAGGACCAGCAGAGAGCAGCTGCAGCCCTGTTGTGCTGAGCACACAGGGTCACAGACAGACTGCTGCCGTGCCAGCAGGCACCTGACAGAGGGACCTCCAGTGCTGGGATCTGCTCCAGGGCTCCTCTGCCTTGCTCCTGGGGCCACTTCCCAGTGGTGCTTGGAGAAGGCAGAATGCCCATCCTGAGTTGTTCATACAATCTGCTCTGACTCTGTTATGGATCTCAGACTAAATTATTGTCATCACAAATGTGACAATAGTGGAAAACAGAGCATGGAAAGGTCATGAAATTGTAATTTCCTGAGTGAAAAATTCCAAGAAATTATGAGTATTCCCAGAAGTACCGCACGTTCCTTTATTACCTGTCATTTTTCAATGCTACTGTCCTTGAAGCACGTATGTGTTGTTTTAGGTACTCATTCCAGGATGAGGAGGATATGTTCATGGTGGTCGACCTGCTGCTTGGAGGGGACCTGCGCTACCATCTCCAACAAAATGTGCGGTTCCAAGAGGGAACTGTGAAACTCTTCATCTGTGAGCTGGTGCTGGCCCTTGACTACTTGCAGAGCAGGCACATCATCCACAGGTCAGCCAGGCTGCAGGCTGTGCTTTGGGCAGGCTTGTTCCTTCTTGATGTGAAACAACAAAGAGAAGCTTAAGTGATAAACAACATACTCTCCCATGTGTGTTTGCTTTTATGTGAAACACAAGGCTTCCCCAAGAAAAGTATTTCATATACAGCAGAGACCATCTGATTTGTCCTTCTGGGGTAGCTGTGAAATAGGATATTTGATTGTCCACCGATACGGCAAAAAATTTGTCTCTGATAGGTTTTAATTAGCTGTAGCTCTTTAATATCCATCCTGGTCCAGGGAGGGTAGGTGTCAGCTTGGTAGGTGCTTATGCTTTAAGGTGTCTCCCTTTGCCCCTCTCTCTGTATTGGACCAAAATATGAGGATGGGACTCAAATACAGATTTTTTCTGCATGAGATAAATCCCTTTCTAGAAGTGCTGAGAGTTTCTTTTTGGTTACCACAGTTTCTTATGGCCAGTGAAAAAATGCATGAGCTCATCCCATACCATTGTAGACCTGCAGAATAGCAGAGGAGGCAGAGTTTCCCCTGGCTGGGCAGCAGGGTTTGGCTCTGGATGCACAGAAACACAGATTTTCTGCTGGTGTCATGGGCAGCACAGAGCTCGGGGGCCCAAGAGTTTAGCCAAGTTAGCTGCTGTCAGGGAGGATGAACAGGGAGGGATGATGAGGGTCAATAATTGCAGGGAGAAGGTTACTTCCTTTAGAAACATCACTCCAGATGAGCATTCTTGTGCAGTGTAAGAATTAAGCATGGAAAGCGTAAAATTGAAACGGTCCTGGTTGTTAGTGGGGAAGCCACACGCGGGTGAGCAGCTGGTGAGGGTGGATGCCTGCTCCTGTCCACAGTGTCCAGCTGCCATGTCCAAGGATGAGCCCTCGCCTGTCCTGCAGCCACAAGAGCCCAGAGCTGTTCTGCTCTGCTGCAGTCAGGGCCAGGCTCTGGGGAGAGCTCCCACCTCCTCAGGGTCTCCTCTTTCATGCCGCTTCTTTTGTGCTTCACATGCATGGATCTTTGCCCCAATGTGAATAGGAGTAGGAGAAACTGCAGGCGAGGTTGCAGTGTGCTTTTCACATGGCTGCATGTGTTTAAGGTAAATCAAGTACAAGAAAACATGTATGGCAGTAAAATTTGCAAGTTATTTAATTAACACTGTAACCCAGTGGGATAATATTTGATTGATAAAGTGATTCAGCTGAGTCAATTACACTGCAACAGCTGTAATTTGGAACATCAGGAGACAGGGAAGCAATGGCTTTGTTTGGCTGAACAAAGCTGTGCAGAGACAGCAAACTCAGTCTGTAATTATTTCCCACCTAATGTAAAAGAAGGGGAAATATTAATAACTTTTAAGTTAAGAAATTATATAACCAGCTTATAAAAAAGAAATATACAAATGAACAATAACCAGAATTATCTCTGGTCATTGTTTGCATCTTGAGAATGATCTTACTGTTCGGGTGTAATTCCATAATTCTGTACGCCAGACAGAGAGAGATCAGAAACAGCCACACTAGAAATTAAAAAAATAATAGTTAAAAAAAAAACAAACCAGTTCCACTGTGCTTAGGGAGAAAATCAACCTGACACTGCCCTGTGCTCTGCTGATGATGCCTGTCCCTATACTCACCTGCATGATGGGATGGCACCGGGAAGATAACCACTGTTCATAACCCACTGGAAGTTGTTTCAGTGACAAGATGTCAGAGAATTGTAAGCTATTAGATGACAATTAGATATATTGTGGGGTTTTGATGCCATGTGGCTTGGACTCAAACTGTATCTTAAGGATTGAATTCTTAAAGATAAAATCCTACATGTGCTCATTTCTTCACCTGGAACTCCTGGGCCTGGTGGGGATCTCCAGCAGGCACAGGGTTACTGCACCTGTTGCCTGCCTCCTGGCTGGGACCTTCTCTCTAGAGCATCAGCTGGCCAGGTGCTCAATGGGGACTGGTGTAATGAGCTCATTAAAGCCAGGTAATGGCTTGTAAAGTCACTCAGGTGGACACAGTGGCTGTATCAGAATATCAGGTGTACATTTTCTCCCATCAGTCCAAGTGTTTCCCTACAGCATTACTATAGGTATTATTTTGTGGGGTCCTTTTACTCAGGAAAACGAGTGGGTTACTGTAGGTAACCCATTTGTATCTAGAACAAAGATGTTAAAATAATTTAATTTGTACTGAGTAAATGGGGAGCCCGTCTCAATAAGGTACTGAAACAGATCGAAAAGTAACAGAAGGAAAATGACAAAAAATACTGACCTAAGTGTGAGTGAACGTACCTGAGTGCTGCTCACCCGAACCCCTGCAGCCGGTGCAGCGTCCCCACTGCTGCTGCTGTTGGATTTGTCACTCTCTCACTCCCAATCAAACAGGAACCTCAGAGCTGAGAAGCCCGAGGCTCTGAGGATGCAGTGCCTGCCAGTGTCCCAGAGCCTGGCCTTCCCTGGGCTGTTTCCTGTCACTTCTCTGGGCTAATGGCTGTCTCTCCTTCTCTGCTCTTTTTTTCTCAGAGATATCAAGCCTGACAACATTTTACTGGATGAGCAGGGTAAGTGCCAGCTGCTCTGTGGTCATGCACGTGTATGAAAGCAGTCAGAGACAGGAGATGCGAGCTGAAGTCTCGGTGCTTGCTGGTGCCATCATTTGGTGTTGCTTTCTCCCTCAGCCTAACTGTGAGCAGGATCATCCCATCCTTTTGTGCTCCATTTGCTGTCTCTTGCTTTTTGAGCAACAGTGTTTTGTGCCTTCAGGGCACTGGGCACCCTGTGATGCTGTGGTGTCTCTGGGGTTGCCTTGGTGTTTTAACCAACACCTCCTTTGGCTGACTGACTTGGTGGCATCCCTACAAGGCACTGCAGGGACCTTTTGTTTGGTGCTGCTTGGGGTCAGTAGCCCAGCACACCCAATTTTAACATTTTCTTGGTTCCTGTTTAAAACTTACTCAAAATGCATCATTTGAAGGGCAATGCTTGTGTCACTGCAGGAAATAATGTGTGATGTGCACAAACAGAATTAATTATGGTGCAAGAGATAAACCTCGTTCACATATTTTTTTTTCCTTGAGCATTTGGCATGGGGAGGGAGCTCTGAAGATTTGGGGCTGATTGTGTTATAAACATTGCTATCAGTTTTTCTATAGTCTTTCTTGGGCAAAACTCTTGGCTATATCCTCTTTAGTCACATTTTTTTTCCGGCAAAGATCTCGCAATGAAGAGTTGTCTGATATTTATTAGTTTGTAACTCATTAGAGAAACATTTTGTTAGCTCTTTTTTTTATTATTATTATTAAATGCAAGTAACTGGCTTATTGTGAGAAATCTTCATTAACAGCTAGAGCAAGGTGCTTGCAGAGAAAAAGTGCAGGGAGGAGGCATACCTGCATATGTTATGACTTCAGAGGCTGTAGCAGAGATGCTGCAGCTCCCAAGGGAGGCACTGCCCGGCTCTGTGACCGGGTGTGTGTGACCAGGGTTGCCTGGCAGCACTGAGCCCAGGCTTGATCTGTTTGCATATGACCTCAAATTTCAGAGCACTGGTTGATTATTTATTTAGGAGCTGGAAGCAAAGTGGCTTTTGCCTCCAGGTGCTGGAGCCCCTGTCCTGCCTCGCTCAGTCTGTCTGTGTTGCCCCATGGACAGACTATGGAGAACCCTGCCCTCCCTGATGTGTCCCCTGGCACTGCTGGGGCTCCAGGCTGCTCGTCTCATGTGGGGCTGATGGTCACTTCTCACTGTTGGAGGTTTTGGTGACCCATCACCATTCTCCCAGAGCTCTGTGCCCCTCAGATTGGGATGACATGGCTTCCTGAGAGGAGCTGGGGTCACCATGGTCATGGGAACATAGGTCAGCACACCCTGAAGAGGAGAAAAAAAAGAGGAAAAGCCTCTGTTCATCTTTGCAGCTTCATTCAGCCCAGGAAGACACAAGCTACTAACTTCTACAATGACACCACAATTCAGGATGAGTTTTGGGTCTATTCTCTGCTCACTGTGATTTTTTAACTCTCTCTTGCAGAGGTTTCAGAGTGTTTTTTCTGGGGATGTACCCTTGACTCCAGTGTCCCTTTGTCTGTGACTTGTAGTATTCCTTTTTTTCATCCATGGCAGCAAAGGTTTGCCTTTTGCGGCATATAGAAAGCTTTGGACACAAACAGAGTTAATTTTTTTCCCCAAACTGACCCTAAAATATAGGAAGACTCAAAACAATCATCACTGAATTACTTTTTGGAGAGCTCTTCTATTTTCTGGTTTCCCAGAGGTAAAGTAAGGGGATATTTGAAACAAGAGACATCTGCAAGCAGCCTGCAAGCTGAAGTATTTTCTATCAGTTCTCCCACCAGATTTTTTTTACCTGGAAACTCCTTTCCATGGAGTATTTTTCTTTATGTTTCTGATTCAGAGCTATTTCTTGTGTGAAATTAAAGCCAACCCTGTTACACGTTCGCCTCTGTCTTTCAGGACACGTGCACATCACTGATTTCAATATCGCCACGATGCTGACCAAGGACAGCCCTGTCACCACCATCGCTGGCACAAAGCCCTACATGGGTGAGAACCAATGGTAGTTACACATCCTCGAATCACCATCTTGTGGGCTTGGGGGGACTGCTGTGGTGGGACACAGCTGGAGACGTTTTTGGTTAGAGTTGGGATTCTTCTCTTCCTGATCCACATCCAAACATACACAGTTTGAAGCGAGGAACACCCTGGAGAGGGGATACAGGGTGGGGACAGGAGTCCCTCCCCAGAAATGCCTCAGTGGAGCTGGGGAATGTGCATGTCCCACTTCACGGGGGAGACTAAGAGATACTTAGGCCACCTTATGCCCAGATTGAGTGAATGTGCTTATTCTGAAGCACATTTACTATGAATGGTAGGCAACTCCTGTGTCAGTAAAAGGAATTTGTTCTTTTTTGGCTTTGGAGGGCAGAGAAGTGCAGAGAGTTTCATGTGGAGAGGACTGTGGTGCTACTGAGTGGCCCTGGTGCAGGGGCATGGCAGCGCGGGAAGGGCATGGGTCAGATGTTCTGTGTTGCTCATTTCCACTTGGGATTGCAGCAAGGCAATTTTCGCCCCCCTGTATTTCACAGCACCTGAAATGTTTAGCTCCACAAAACCCACCAGCTACTCCTTCGCCGTGGACTGGTGGTCACTGGGAGTCACTGCCTACGAGCTGCTCAGAAGCCGGGTATGTGTGTGGCTCTGTCCTTGGACACGCTTGGGGAGGGTTAATGCTTTATGGCAGAGATGAGACAGCCAAGCTGAATTCCAGGCTTTAGGGGTTATTCAGCAGAGGAAGCAGAGATCGCATCTCCACCAGGGTTCTTGTGATCATGGCTAAGAGCTCAGAGAAGCTGCTGCAATATAGCTCTCCCTCCAGGTAAAGCAGCAGAATTGTTGTAGATGGAAAATAAATAGGGAGGTGACTTCACCTGTGCTGTACGCTGCATGTGTCACTGCATCACTGGCGGTACACCGCACGTTGATGCAGGAGGAGTCCCTGGTGCCCCAGTGCACCGTGTGCTCCTCTGCAATGGTCACCTTTCCTGTGACATCCTTTTCTGAGCTGATTTTATTGCTGGGAGACATTTGTCTCCTTTTCGCTGGCAATGTCACCAACAAGAGTGAAGAACATTTTACAGGGAGTATCAGGAGTGCTCTAACCACTGCGCAATGTGTCATAGCTTTGTGAGATAAAAACGCTGAAAAGACCAAGCAAATTCCCACTGGCTGATAACTCTGACTTCTCGGGTTTGCTCCTGCCTGTTCTGCTGTTAAATGCCCAGTTATTAGCATAGTTCTTACTGACATTTTATTTTTTCAAATGAGCCATGGTTGCACAGGGAGAGATGTCCCATGGGAGGCTGGGGACTGGACAGTGAGAGAGACTGCGTGAAGCTTCTGTCTAACCAGATTTCCCAAGGAGTTTGAAAAGCAGAGAAATTCAAGTGCTTGTCTTGTGGCGTTTCCCACAGAGGCCGTACCACATTCGGGCCAGCAGCTCCTCAAGTGAAATCGCGCACGTGTTGAAGACAGCTGCAGTGATGTACCCGGCTGCGTGGTCCCCGGGCGTGGTGGAGCTGATCAGGAAGGTGAGGGGGCTGGAGGGTCCCAGTGCTCCTGCCACCCCCAGCCTCTGCTCTACATGGGGGGAAGCCCTTGCAGATGGTGTCCAGGCCAGTGTCAGTGCCTTTGAGAGCACACAGAGATAAATGTCAGCCGCACAAGGTGACGGCAGCGAGCAGCGCTGGCAGTGCTGGCAGCTGCTGCTGCACCTTCTGCCAGGACACCGGCAGCCTTGGCTTCCAGAGTTTCTCCATCACTTTGCATTCTGGAATTAACTGACTTAGAAGCAGCTACTGATATACATGTCAATAAATTTAGCCCAAAAATTAACATTTTTTTAATCCTCAAGAAACATTTTTTTCCCAATAATGGAAAGAAGTGTGGACACTTTTGTAATCCTTTGATGCCATGTAGTTTATGCACCACTGCATTTTTTTTCAATAAAGCTGTTATAAAAATTGCTTCAGAATCATTACTGAAATAATTTTGAAGCTGAAAATACCATTTGAAATGAAGCCATACCTTCAATAAACGAGGCTATGGCTTAACAGTGGCAGCAAAACTGAGCACTTAGCCTCTGCATAGCAGCACCAGCAGCAAATTTTAGGGAAGCATGTAAATAATTTTTTAATTTCAAATAAGTGTGGGCAATGAAGTAGTACTTAATGTAGCTTTCAGCTGTTTTTTGTTCCAAATAATATATTTATGTATTCTGTCATTTCTAATGAAATAGATGGTCAAACATTTTAACAAAAAGAGACTGTCAATTCGTTGATGAGACAGAATCATGGTGTATTTTCCAGGAATAAAATTGAAGAATATCTCCATTTGCTGAAAATTCAATGAAGCCAGTATTTCATTAAGCCTAACAGTAATACAGGAATATTTGTTGCAGATGTCCTATGTGTTGTTACGCTGGCAGTTTTTTCCTGGACCACAGCAGGCCACAAGCCATGGAGGCTCCCTTGTGAACAAATAATACAATGTCACAATTTTTTTAATTTTCCAGCACTCCTTTGCATCTGGTTTAACAGCTATATGTATTATATATGAAGCCAACTGCAGCTCCTTCCTGGCTCAACCATCCCCTGTGGATTTCTGTATTTATTACCGGCCCAGACAGGTGTTTGTCCTCGCTGGAGCTGGCGTTAGGCTGGAGTCCAGAGCTCTGCAGAGGGAGCTGGGGACAGTGCTGGTAGCTGGCTGCATGCCAGCATGAGGAGGGCTGGGTGGGTCACCTTGCCAGTACCTTCCCCAAAGGGTTTGGATCATCTGGTTTTCCTGCTGGGTTTTAGGCGTGCATGGCGTCAGGAGTTTATGCAATGTGTAATCTTTAACAGAGACAACTTCAACTCTTTCCTTCCACAGGATCCCTACAGCAATGTTAAAAAATTATGAAAATAAGCAGTGTGAAGGCATACTTTCACACTGGAATAAGAATATTACTTTAGTAGAGTGAGAAAAGAGGATGTTTTACTGATCCAGTATTAAAAGGAGAGCACAAACACCTGAGTGGAACTCCCCATTCCAAACAAATACTTATTTTTAACATTGGACAAATTGTTTAATGCCACTGCACTGCCTCATTGTCGGCTCCTACAGTGTGGATAAAAGTAATTCGTAAAAATGGAAATAAACAGAAGCAGAGCCTGTGAGCCTGTCGCATCTCCTGGCAAAGGGACTCTGAGCCAGAGCAGGAGAGGCACGGGTCCAAACGCCAGGGCTGATGCGGTGTCCCTGCATCATGTGTCCTCAGCTGTGCTCCACAGACTGTGTGCCCTGTGGGGATGGTCTCATCTCTTCCCTTTAATTCTTGCTGCAGTTGCTTGAGCTGAACCCTGAGAAACGTTTTTCTCAGCTGAAGGACATCCAGTCCTTCCCGTATCTGTCTGATGTGAACTGGGATGCTGTTCTCCAGAAAAGAATAATACCAGAATTCATTCCCATGGTAAGACTATTTGAGTGTAAATGTTCCTCACACCCAGCACTGGGACATGGGGTGTTCTGACAAATTTCTACTGAAGCATCAGGTGTCACAAGAGGAAAAGAGAAACCAGGGCAGAGCTGTCTCTTCCCAGAGTGTGTAGCAAAGAGTAATGGAGGGAGACCACTGTATAGGTGCCCCAAAACAGATATGCCCTGTTTGTAATGTTCCTGGAATTTCTGGGTGCAGAACTGCAGCTGAGTGTTACAGCCCACAGGGCTGTGCATCTGTGTGGGATGGACAGTGCCTGTGAGCCCTCTTGTGCTGACACATGCTCTGAGAAATGCTGCTCCCCACACCCAAAAACCCTGTGCACCAGGACAGGCTCAGCAGCAGCCTGGAGATCACCCACCATCTTATGGGAATTGTTTTCTCCTGTAACGCCTCCCCCAACAAGCTCATTGTTAACAATAACAGTAAATAGTGCAAACGCTAGATTAGTGTTTCTGGGCCTTTTTTAATTAAATTAAAACCGCACACAAGTATCATAGCCCTTATGGAGAATAGTCCAACTGCTCCAAATGGTTTTCAGCAGAAGTTGGGCTAAACTATGAATATTTGTTAATTGTATATCTGCTCTTGTTGCTGGGTTTCTCTGTGGTGGGTACAATTCTGTATTGATTGAAGACCAGTTCCACTGGGTTGTTGTACTACTCTCAGAAAAGCACAACCCAACCAGGATCCTCATCCTCATTGCCACTCCAAAGCAGCCAAAGGGCAGAGTAGAAGCAGGAGCGCAAAAGGAGCCACTGAGACACCTTGAATATAGCCCCTAGCTGAAGGGAGTGATAAAGTATATGAGGAGTATAGCCAGTGCTCTTGGCTGCATGTGCAATTATAATTAGTGCATTTTTTTACAAAATTCAGCTCCCAGATGCAGTCCAGGTTATAAGAGACTCCTTAGGCTCTTATCACATACGGCCATCTCTCTCTTCCCTCCAGAAAGGCAGACTGAACTGTGACCCAGCCTTTGAACTGGAAGAAATGATCCTGGAATCCAAACCACTTCACAAAAAAAAAAAGCGTTTGGCTAAGAAGGGGAAAGACACAAGCAAAAGCAATTCATCCCAGGTAAGAGCAAGTGGGTACAGGTGTGTGGTCAAGGAGGTCTTTAATTTTTCAATGATTGCCATCTAGCAGGACCACAGAAAACTGAACAGAGTATTTTTTTCCCTTGTGACCAACTTTATTCTTAAAACTCTCCCCCATCTTCCCTGTGGTGAAAGGCAGAATGTGTATTCACCGGTTTACTGCAAGAGAAGAGCCCTAATGCCTTTCTCCACACTGCAGGGCCAAAGATGCTCTGTGCCCAAACATATTGCCATGTCTCATTGAAACTCTCCTTGTAATTTCTGTTTTCTGTGTCACCTGTGAATTTATTTCTTATCTCTTTTGTTTTTCTGTTCCAATGTGAAAGGCCAGCCACTTCCAGAAGCACCTGGAAATGCTCCAGAGGGACTTCATTGTTTTCAACAGAGAAAAGTAAGTTTTGATCCAGAGGCAACAGAAGAGTCACTGACCCTTGCCAATGCCTTTGACAGTTTTTGGGGGCCCAGGGCTGGGGGAGCTGGGTGGGGGGGACACTGTGGGGGCCCTGTGTTAGAGGAGCTTGGGGCACTCAGGGCTGGAGGAACTGTGGAGTGGGGGGCAGCTCATGCCAGGCAGTGGGGAGCTTCAAGGCAGCTGTGCCTCTGTGGGATCTTGGCACTGCCTGGGCTTTCCCTCACAGCTCAATCATCCTTTTCTATCCCCAAGGGTAAGACCCCACCATGACAACATCCAAGAGACAATGACAAAAACTGGAGGCCCACACAGGGAAGACAATCAGAACAACAACCTCTGAGAACAGCTCAGACCCTGCAGGGGACTTCCTCATGGGACTGGGGCTCACCCACTCATGCACCTTCACAATGTCAGGCCATGGACTTGTCTTCTGCTGCTGGGACCCTGCCAGTAGCCCAGGGCACAGAGGAGAGCTGGGGCATCCACTCCCTCAGCTTTCCACCCCACAGCATGGAGGGAGAGGCTGTGGGGGCTGCCTTGCAATTTGCCACACTTGGTTAGATTCAGATCCTATTGTCTTGCCTTTCTTGGGGGCAGAACGGGACCACAAGACAACACATAAGACAGTGTCCACCATTCTGGCTCGGCTGGCAGGTGCCACAGCCCTTGGTATCACCATGCAGGCAAGTGCAGCAGTGTGCCGAGAGCTGCGTTGTGCTGAGGGTGCCCACCAGGGCCACTGCCCTGCCGCGCCTCAGGGCGCTGCACAAGTTGGCATTCCCACATGGATGGGCTCATGGCTGGCTGCCCTGGGGGAAGAGGTGGCTCCCAGATGCAGAGCTTTCACCAACATGCTGTGACAAAAGTGGCCTTTGCTTACAGCTCCTTTGTGGGAGCTCCTGCAAACATTCTGAGGGTGGGCACAGGAGGCCAGAGACGAGCTCAATCCTTAGCTGGGAGGAGGCAGCAGAAGTTTCCTGCCCATTTAGCACTCTCTCCATGGGCTGGCATGGTGGGTGGTCAGTGTGCAGACAGATGTGGACACCAAGCATAACAACCAGGTGCTGGTGAGTCCAGATGCTTTATTAGTCAAGCCTGAAAAATGCATTCACCACAATATTAAACTGCTGCAGCTCACTGAATCGGATGGGGTTTGGCTTCCAAAACCAGAGGGGAATTTGAATGTGTATTTTCAATCTCTCTGCCACTGAAATCACACTTGATTTAAGCAGGGACTGTCTTCAGGAACAACTGCACTGCTGGTGTGGTCTTGCCAAGACTGAGATTGGCCAAAGCATTGCTACTGCGGTAATGCTGAGAATGATGCTATTATTTAAATGCTTTGACAGGACTGAAGTTTCACCTCCTTATTAGACATTTTTCCCATTCTTAGCAATGTAGTGAATGCATGATGAAGTCTTTGCCTCCCATTAACCCAGAGGTAAGCACCCTCTGTCCCATGTGTCTCTGCAGTGGTTGGCAGCGGGAGTCCCAGCATCGAGCAGTGCAGTTTGTGCCTAAAAACAAGCTGTAGTTTGGTGTCTTCCATGTTCTCGCCCCTCCTGCAGTGGTGGGGGCGGGTGTCCCACCGCTGGCTGCTCCCCAGCTGGCTGCCAGCCCTGCAGGACTCCTCCCAGGGTGCCAGGGCGAGGGGAAGGGGCTGGCACCACGGCTGCAGCACGTTTCCTGCTCCATGTGCTGCAGCCTCGCCACCTGTGCACACAGCCACCAGGAAAGGCCACCCTGTTCCGCCCAAGGAGCTGTAAAGCTGGAGCAGAATTAGTTCATCAGTAGGTGGGTATTGGAATCTTCAATGAGTGTCACTGTCATGGGAAAGTCACCTTTCCCTGCTCCATCAGATGGTGCCCCAATTAATGGCACAGTGTGCTTGCTCTCCCCTTCCCCTGCCATGCTGGCTTTCAAGCAATAGGACTGTGAGTGGGGTGGGGACTCCATGCCTCTCTGCCTTTGACTCACCATTCCCAGGAAGGCTACCCAAAGCACCTCCTGCATTCTCCATTGGTCCTCTGCTCTCTGCCCAGTCCGCCATGGGACGGTGCTGACAGCTGTCCCTGGCTCCTGCACAGCACACACTACCATTGCCTTGCTCTGGTGCAGGTAGAGGTTCAGATACCATAAGTGTATTTATCTGGAATACCAGCTCTGCTCCTCACTAGGGAAAAATCTGCTGCTGCAGAAATACCTCTCCACTGGCTGGCCAGAAAAGCCCCAAAACAACTGATGTACTTAAATGGAAAGAACATTGCATATTTAAAAATTCCCCCAAAATTTTACAACTATCTCTCCATTCCTCTGTAACAGAGACATAATCTCAGCTTAATCTCTACCAGGCAACAGGAAAAAGCCTTAATTTATTGATGGAAGAACTTCACAAAGCTTGTAAGTACAGCCTTCCTCACTCTGGCACAACTTAAGGACTGTGGCAGGGACAGCTTGTCCTGCCCGAGTTGCAGACATGCAGAAATAAGTGTTTCAAGGTCAAATACTAAAGAACAGGGAGAAAAGTGTATTTGTTTAGCATACCTGAAGCTGACCTTTAATTTTTGTAATCTTTAAAAAACAATCACTTTTTTTTGCATGCTTTGCAAGCTTTAAAGGCCAGCACCCCTCAGTCTAACAGACAATGCCTGATGGAAGTGGAACATTTCACTGACAGGCATCCACAGAAAACAGCCTCCACGGCTGTCCAGCCAGGATGATCTCAAAGCTGTGCCCAGACAGTGCCATGTGGAGCCAGTCCCTGTCAACACACAGAAGACAGGCACAGTTCTTGCCAGGCAGCCACAGCCCATGGGGGCCAGGCCAGGCTCAGAGACTGCATGGACAAACTGAACAGGCTTTTACAAACACTTGCATTGTGCTGTTTTGCCAATACCTTTACCTGAAAAGCTACACCAACACCCTGACGTGTAGCAGTGAGCACTGCATGGTGTTGCCCTGACAGGCTGTTGCTGCAGCCCCCTCCAGCCCCAACACCACCCAAACCCCTCTGCTGCCCCAGCCCAGCTCCCTGCAGGTGCAGCTGGGCACTGCCCCTGCTAAGCAGCACCAGCCTGAGGAAGAGAAAAGCCAGCCGACAACATGAGTTGTTTGAAGGAACAACTTTTTTTTTAATAAAGTGTACAAAGTAGTAAAACTCCTTACAGAAGGTGCTGTGACAGCTGTTACAGAGATGGTTTGAGCTCCCCACAGGCCTTGTGATGAAATGCCAGAGCATTGGGTGGAGATGAAGGAGATGAATGTGACAGACACACCTGTCCCTATGAGCTCAGTGCACCTGCCCTCCCCATCCAACATCCTGCCTCCGGCCAGACCCTGCCCCTCACCTGCCTGGCCGGGTCCCTGTGGGCCGTTGCCACTGTCCCACACCACGGCATCCCACACACGTTCAACACCAACAACACTGAACCGAGCAACCTGTCTGAGCAGCATGCATACAGAGAGGAAGAGCAAAACACAACCCAACCAAACCCACAACAGTAACAACAACAGAACTTTTAAGGCTATGCAAAAACAAAATGAAGCAACATCTTTAAAGCTAGGTAGCAAGTAGCATTTGTGAAACATAAGGCTTGAGGCTTATTGATTCTTCAGAACAGGTTTATTTCTTTTCATTCCTAAACACCAATGTACCATTTTTCTTCCTTTGCTTAAACAGGGATTTTGTTTCCTCCTCAGCTGGGACATTTAGCTCAGAGAGGTGATGTTGGAGCGGCCTCCCGGGGGTGCAACAATGCGCTTGCTTGCTGAGCGCGTGCCTTCATCAACCTGGGTACCTGGGATGGGACAAGGAAGTAAAAAGGGAAGAGGGAAAGCAAAGTTAAGAGCATCTTCTTCACAGGACTGAGCAGTCAGGTAGCCTGGAGTCTTGCCAAGGCCCTCCAGAGGTTATCTACTGCAACCTGCTCCCTCTCCAACTCCACTAGCAACCCCAAGAGCTGCAGTGGCTTGAAAGTCTCTGCAGATGCTTCGTGAACAGACCCACACAGCAAGAACAACACTGGATGCTGTGCTGGCCTCCACAGTCTGCCTAGCTTCTACTGCAAGTGCAGCTCCAGCCATGTCCTTTAAGGGACACGCAGGATCTTGCCCTGCCATGATCCACTCTTGTGCTCACCGTGCCGCAGGCCACCTCTAACTGCCCCCTGCCCCGGGCCAGGGACACATGGCCAGTGGCTCTGCCCCCTCTCAGCCCAGCCACCACATGTGTTCACCTGACAGGCTGAATCCAGACTGATGGAGATTCCTGACGGGCGGTGTCTGACGTGTGGGGGACCCCCTGGTTGACCCCGCAGGGGTTCCCCCCTTGGGGGTGGTGGTCAGGTCAAACACAGGTCCATCATACAAGCCCCGGGGCACAGCGTGCATCTCTGCCATCTGTCAGCAGAGAGAAGAGAACAGGGACAATTCTCTGAGCCCAGGTAACATCATGCTCCAGCCATTCCCCAGCTCCTCAGTCCCCCTGCAGAAAGATCTTACACTGCCATGCGCTGTTAAGTCCTGCAGCCCTGAGGCCTGGCACAGCCCCACTGCCCTGTAAGGTGTGCAGAGCCACTGCAACAGCCTATCACCCAGGTGGGGTTTATGCTGCACAAAGTGGGGAGGAGAAGGCAATTTTGGCTAATCTCTTAATTTTAAATAGCATTTCCCCCTAGACTCCTGCTGCAGCAGGACAGGATGAGGGGAGACATTACCACTGCTAACCTTGAGGAGCACCTGCCTCCACCATGGCACAAGGGCTCCCTATCCAAGCCTCACCTATTTTGTACATTCAAAATACACAAGCAGTTTGCAGCACTGCTTAGAGGGTCCAGCAAGAACAGCAAAGGAAAACCAACCAGTTATTAAGGGCAATTTGGGCTAACAGTATCCCAGCTCTGTCTCCTGGCATCCCCATCTGCTCACCTTCCTCCTGGCTTTGATGCGCTTGTAGACGTAGTCAGGGAAAGGGCTGCTGGGCAGAAATCGTCCAGTCCCCTGGGTCACATGCAGGTTGCCGTCCTCCAGCATGATCTTCCCCTGGCATATGACAACCAGCGGGGCCCCACGGAGCTCCATCCCCTCAAAGATGTTGTATTCAGCCACCTGCAGCAACCCCAGGACGGTGGTCAGGAGGGACAAGAGCACTGCCTGCCCACTCAGGGCGGGTCAGTTCCCACACCTCACTGCTGGAGTCACCAGTGCAGGCAGAAGACACCTCTAACAGCCTTGCCTGCTCAGAGGCCTCCTGTAGCTCACTAGCCCATACAGTGAAAGTCCACCAGAGCTCCCAACATGAACCAGGACCTGCTGGTTTGAAGCTCATTGTGAGGAAGAACTCAAGAGCAAAGGCAGGACCTAGGCTTGAGGTAAGGCATGAACAAAGCATTGTGGAAAGGCCAGGAAAAATATTTGTGCCTGGAAGAGGAATCAAGGTAAGGAAAAATGTGTGTCTGTATACCTGCATAGGCCAAGGTGAGGAGAAGAATACCCAAGCAGGGTGAAAAAAGTCCCATGTGCCTAGGGCTCAGAGACATTCAACCCACAGACACTGCCTGGAGCTTGGGCTCAGTCCCTCCTCCTCAGAGCCAAGCAGGACAGTACCAAGCTCCCAGCAGCCAGGCAACCTTTTTACAAAACTACTCATATGCCACCCTCCAGCAATCACACAGATGAGCAGAGGACTTACAGACTGATGGGTTTTTGCTGTGATGATCTTTACTGCATCAGGATCCCATATAACCAGATCACTGTCCGAGCCCACCGCTATTCTCCCTTTTCGTGGATACAGGTTGAAGATTTTGGCAGCATTAGTGCTCGTCACAGCCACAAACTGATTTTCATCCATCTTTCCAGTGGCCTGCTCACACACAAAGAGAACTAAGTCCTTCTATGGGGAAAGGGTAAGAGCCCTGGGAATCACCATCCTCACTCCTCAGGCTGTCTGCCTGGGCCCAAAGCTTCTGAGGCTGATCTTAGTAACTGGTGCCAGACAGACTGGGGGCACAGTTACAGCTTCTGGATATTCATCCCAAGCCTGTGACAGCCACCTCTCCTGCTCCAGCTCGATTTGACTCTCAAAGTCAGAGAGGGAACAAGCTGGGTGCCCAGCTCTGTGGGGCAATAGCATGGGTATGTGAGA